AACAGCAAGGACTACTATGATACAACAATGGAGCGTCAGCGGTGCGAGGATAGTACGTACAGTCGCATTATTTATTCAAATACTGGTGAGGAAGAACCCACGATGCTGAATGACGACGACTTGAATACAGTTGATCGTCGGGTTTTAAATGGTGATCCAGATGTTAGTTTTCTTTTTCACCACTGGTTTTGTGTTTTTGCGCGAATGTTGAATCAATCAAGTCGTTAACAATAAGAATGGTTGTTGCTTTACAATTCGGCATTTGCACTAATTTTTGTAATATTTTTGCCTCTTCTTGCATATAGAAGGAAAAGGAGCTGCTAATGGGACGATATTGTTGCATAATGGGCACTGAGGCCTCAATGATCTCCAGCATGCATGATTACTGTAATATTGCGCGTAGGTAGTGCTAGCAAATTGCATCCTCAAGTTCGTTGTGCCCGTGCGCGAAATCTGAGCATTTGTGAAAACAGATTTTAAGTCTTTGGTAGTATACAAGGTGTGCTAGAGCTCTCGTGTAATTTCTGCTTTCTTTTCTGCCTAACTGCTGAAAGTGAAGGATGAAAAGTACTGCAGTTTGAACATTTGCTGCGCCCGTACGCAAGAACAAAAATATTGCAGTTTTCGGCATTCACATCACTTACGGAAACAGCTTAGAACTCCCCACCTACATTGCTTCCAGCAAGATACTGGAGTCACGCGGAAGTATGGTAGCAAATTATCAAGAACAGTGATTCACTTGCAAAGCTGACAAGTACTCAGTTTTCCGATGACTGTCGGAGGTTGACTGCAAGAAAATAGTTTTTCAAGAAAATAGAAATGTTGGAAAGATTCTGCCGATATGGACTGTAAATTCTAAACTTCAAGCACCATCCAGTGATTGCTTCTGATTGTTTACAGCGCAACTCATTGATTTCACCAGTGTACGGTACCACGTCACAGCGTCACCGTCGTCAGCAACAGCAGTTTGTTGAGTGTCGACAGCAGCAGCATCATCAACAACAACAGCAGCAACAATACGCATATGTACCACAACATTTTACCGCCACTGCTGCTGTGGTAGGAAAGACGAAATAAATTTATTTCTTCGTTACATCACAGACTGATTAGATAAGGTTTGGCCAGTACTAGCAAGTGCACTCCTAATTTGGCCAGCAGCCTGCCCAAAGCAGCTTCTAAATGCGCTAGCAAAGCAGAAGATTGAAACAAAGATTCGTGGTATTCCGGATATACGTTGACGAAAATATTATGCTAATAATTTATCCAGACATTTGTATTCATATTGCGATATCATTTTAGCCAAGTCCACTTCCACCCCATGTTTTTATAAAGAAATTTATTCACCAACTTCAGATGCAAGCCTTGCTTTTTATTTTTTAAATCATTTAGCCAGTAGAAAACTAATTTGTTCCTTAGAATTTTTGAATTTGGAATTGCTCAAATTTAAACGCTCAAGCGTGAATTTGTTTGTACTCTTATATGTGCATTTATTCAGCCGTTCGTGCCAGCCCAGTTGCAGTTTGTACCGGCCATGCTTCCAGCAACATCGTTCCTGCCAACACAGCAAGTTACGTATGTAACGAGCAGCGCTTCTAATGGTAAAACATACTTTTTTACTCCTTCAAAACTCAAAATTCTTAAATTCCGTAGCTTCGGTTGAACCTGGGCGCGCAGTTTGTTTCGAAAAAAATTGATGAGTTTATGCTGAAGCTGAATTGTTTGTATGATTGAGAATTTGTTGCTGTTGGGTTTCTGAGCTTTAAATTTTGTGAATTTCTTTGCAAGCAAAACAGACTCTATCTGTTAGCAGAGCAATCAGAGTGGTATTATAAACTTTTAAAGCTTTTGAAGTTTGTTAGAAAGTGCCGTCATAAATTCTTCATCCATACGTTAATTCAGGCAATGGGGCAATAAGCGGACCATCGAGAGTAACAGCTACCTCATCATCGATGGTTGTTATGAATGATAATCAAAATGACCAGCAACACAATGCTAGTCTTTCGGAAGCAGAAATTTTTAATATTTTTTAAAAAATGGGACTTTTTTTAAAACATGAAATTGATAATTCACAAAATACTAATGTTAGAAAACTAGTGAGGAGACTCTGTTTCCTCAAAAACATGACATACTTGGAACTTAAGACCAGAAGTTCCAGTGTCTTAACTTAAGACCGGAAGTCCCAATGTCAATGCTAAAGACCAAAAAAGCTGAAGACTTGAAAAAAAAAAAGATGAAACCATTTTAGGCATCCCCGTTGTCAGCAATGCAGCATGAAGAAGTGCGAACTCGCGCACTTTGCTACTCGCCGCCGCAACAGCACAGCCAGACCGGTGGTAAAAGATTTGCTCAATAGCCTTGCCTTTTACCCTAGAATTCCCGTTAAAAGCCGTTAAAAACTGAGAAAAATCAGGAAAATCGCGGTGAATACTATTAATTGCTGTAGTAAGTGGCATTAGAAAGCCAAGGCTGGTGTAATTCGTGATATTCGGAGAAAATGGCGACAAAAAACTCGATTTTTTTCTGATTCCTACTGCTCTGTAAGTAAGTTTCATTTGTCGTACATCTAGGAATTTGGGACAGGAATTTGAGACAGCCAGCACAGGTCTTTAATTCTAAAATGCGCGGCTCGGCTTTTGTTACAGATCTACGAAGAACTCGCAAAGTTGGAAAAATTGTGCGCTGTAACAGTAGCCAGGCACTAGGAAATGAACGTGGTTTTCATACACAGAAATTTGAATTTTTAAATGCTTCATGCTCCAAAATGAAGCTGCAATTTGCTTTACTTGCTTAGCGTTTTTTGTATGATTGTTAACGCAGCGGTTAACGTGTCACAAGTCGATGTGTACAGGAAGAGTAGAGATGGAAGAGTTCATTTCTCGGCAGTGAAAATGAGGAGTTTGATGTGCAGTAAAAAATATCCGAAATTCGCATCTGTTTCTTTTCACATTACTGCAAAAGAAATTTGTAGATGAATCCGTAACGGGCGCAGCATCAGAGCACTCCACCGTTTCAACACGTATTAGGCGTATGAAAATTCCTACGAAAGCAAGTGATGTCGATCAATTTCTGGATGATGTTTTTGAACAGGTTTGCATGAGTTTTATTTTTCTTTTTTTTT